AGCGACAAGCCTCAGACACATGCAGCATGTTCGCGATGGTACCTTTATACGGCTTTGAGTTGTTCGGTGCTCGCGAAGTTTGCACGAGTGTTTACAAGCCTGCAAATGGTACCATCGTGCGCAGGATACTCGTGTTTTGGCATAGCCTTCTTTATTCTACAAAGCCTGTCAAATCGCGAAATTCTCTGGTTTAAGGCTATCCGCTGTCGTTTGTTTCTGTTTGTCGCTTTAGTGGGGCTCGGGCCCCACTATAGCCGAACTAAGACTATACCTGAAGATTAGCCCATGCTCTCTGCTTTGCCAACCCTGCGTATGACTATGATAAACATTGACGGTGCATTATTAGGATCAAATCACGTGGCTGATAGTTCTAATTGCGAGTTGAGGAGGGGAAAGCGGTTTCATTTCTTTCTCTCGACTGTCTGCCATTTCGCGGTGGGGCAAACTAATGGGTGCTTTTGCAAGTTATCAACGTCAGGGATTACAACTTAGCGGTATTTATTGAACTTAAGGTAAAAAAAAAAATGCTGCACGACCCATTTTACATGTATGCACACCATTGAGGCTCCCAAACGTGTTTTCTTTTCGTTATTGCTGAACTGCCTCAGAAAGTTGTACCGAGAATAGAAGTGTTAAAGGGTGTAAATGTGACGTATTAGTCCGACGTTACATGGAACTATTAGTGTGTACGGGAGGGATACCTCAAAAGAAAGGTACTAGCGGCCTCACGGGGATAGCCGAACGTTCGCAGCCGCTCTAAGTCTCACATGAGTGTCGTTCTCAAGTTCTCTAAGTTTCGACCGCCCTGTATTTTGTTTAACCTTCACAGTTTGGTGCAAAGTAAAAGCAAAGAAGAATTACTGTTAACAAGTGACACATATATAATTGTCGAGTGAACACCACTCAATACGGAGTAGGGAATCCCTGAGGAATAAAAAGTATCTTGAGGAGCAACTAAAAAAAGAAAGGGAGGGGGGAGGGGGGTAGTTTTAAAGCATACTGTGTCGTAAAGATTCCTCTGCCCCGCATTTTCGGCGCAGACTAGAAAGCACGTTTTCGCCGTGCCAGATACTCGCGCCGTGCCTAACGACGATGCACCTACAAGAAAAATGTGTGCCTCTCAAATACATAGCTTGCACTGAGCGCAAAACTTTTGCAGCGTGCATTTTGCCCCATCGGATTTGATTTTCTCAGCAAGAACAACTCGCAATGACAACCAGTATCTAGTGAGATTACGTCACGTGCAAACCATGTTAAATACTTCAGCTTTCTGGTGAAGTGCGAGTTCGCAACACTAGCAGTAGACGTCCAACGTGTAAAGTTGTGTAGTATTTATAGCAGTCTCGCGATGATGTACGGCAGCCTAATGAGATGTTGGAGCACATGACTGATAAAGAACGGAGTCGTGAAGTAAGGTCCCAAAACAAGTGCACGTAAAACCTAAGATAACATTAGCCTCCCGAGGTAGTATCTCGCGACGTTTTGAGCTGAGGCAAGCTGATGCCCAAAAGTGATTTATATTAGGATTCTAAAAATCTTCGTTTGCCCTGCGCGGAATCTATGTTTAATTAGGAATGTCATTTTATGCATTTCTATGCATTTCTTTTTGCAGTAAAGCGTTGTGTAAGGGATTATTTAGAAAAAATTGCGTGTCATCTCCTTATTTCTGCACATTTCGTGTATTTGCCTTCCGATATATCATGTGACCACAGTATTTTTTGGCATACTCTGCAACCCAGTATTTTACACTGCAAAACAGCTAACAAAAGCACGTTACCGAAGACTCAACAGCTGGTGTATTTTCGAGTATCGTCCTTCCGTGTCGGTCTCAGGCGGTTATGTGAACTTCATAAAGTCCAATTTATCGATGATAATAAAAATATACTTAATTCCTGTCTGAAGATTTGGCAGCATAAATAGAAGATCGTCACCTCAAAGATATATAAGTAAATGCACCTTTAAATTATCTGAAAGAAGTTCTGCAAATCTTTTCCGGCGCTTTTATCCTCAATAGACACGTTATAGGTGATTTGGAAAAGCTTTAAATAATGTTTTTTTTTATTTTGAAGCTAATTTAAATAACTATATGTGTTCCTCACGCATATATAACTTCTCAAATATATAGAAGTTTATTATCGCGTTTTTTATGAGTTTTTATTATCGCCTTTTTTTACTGGAACGAATGGTGGAACTATGACGATTGCACTTTTAAACTCTCCGAAAGTGTCCAATTAAGTAGGTTCCGAATTGAGTAGAGCATAAAATCCCACTTTGTTCTATTTAACAAAAATCATCAATTAACGAGGGTGATGCTTATTTGCAAATTAAATTGACCGACATTTTGTCAAGAGCAAACCTCAAGAACCAGGCTATGCCAGTTTATCCAATATAAGAAAATGTTCACATGGGTAAGCACTGTTTTAGGCCAGATTCGATCTCAGTACGAAGGTGCTCATAGGTTAGAGTGAACAATTTCAGCCACTCCTTTTTGCATGATTCGTCGCCCGCATCATGCTGCTGAGAGCAAACAATGCTAGTTAGAAAAACAAGCATTGCGATTGTCGCTTAGTGTTTCTATAAAATATAGACTGGAAGGACTTGTCCCGTGACTTTTGTGACATCTTGAAAATTATATTGCCTTGAGTTCAGTCGTCTCGTCATCATATATATATTGTGAAACGTATTCCATAAAACACATTTTATGGTGTATATGGCGACGAACTGCCCATTTCATGATTTTATTCACTGTAATGAATTCCTTAGTTCAAGGGTAAAACCACGAATCAACATCTATTACTGCGATACAAAGTTGTACCAATCACGGGTATTTTAGGCAACCTACTTCACTTCGCGAAAACATTTCGATTCAGGTACAATTTATGTGACTGGCAAACGAAGGGATGTTGAGTCGTATAAACACGACGTTTTGTATGTTAATGTAGATTTTCCTTTCTTGTTGTGTAGGTATAAATAACATAATTTTATAATTTTTGTACCTGAAAATAAAACTGGATTGAACAAACTATATATAAAAAAAGAAAACTATACACTGTAAACGACTTATTTTTCGTGGGCTCAATATTTCGCGATTTAGGTCAAAGCTGAAGTTTCGGAATAATTCGCGGGTTGTAATTTTCTCGACGCGGTGGAATCTCAATATAAATTTCAATCTGTTCACATTTTACCGAAATTCTTCGGGGACCCATTTTTCGCGGATTGTAGGCGATTCGCGAAATTCTCAAAAATAAGTCCTCGCAAAAATCAGATCGTTTACAGCAGTTAGTTTCACGGCATAAATAGTGCATATTGACAGAACAACGCGGAAAATATATTATCAATTTAGCGGTTCAAACCGGTTCGAACCGGTTCGAACCGGTTTGAACCATTATTTTTTGCACCCCGGAACTGAACCGGAACTGAACCGAAAGCCGTAAACCCGAACCCGAACCGAACCGATAAAAATATCGGTTCGACACTCTGCTCTCGACGCAATCAGACGTAAGCTTCCGTAACATAACTTAACGCAAGTGAACGGTGCTGTGTGAACCAACGTTGTGTGAACCGGTCTCAACGCGTGTTTGATAGGTTACAAATGCCAGGAATTAATTCGCAGCAGAATTCATTGAAAGTACAAAAATTGTTCCATCGCCTCTTTAAATGGCAACTCGGTTCAATGTTTTGGAATTCGGGATTACGACTGTTTTCCTCAACTAAGGCGACGTCCCTGAATTACACTTTTTCTTGATATTTTGTGTAGTTATATAGATATCACGGCTCAAAGTTTGGCTCTGGGCGTCTACTGCAAAACGGGAACCATTTGCTAGAAGCACGGCAACACTGATCCTCATGATGATTGAAAATCTGAAACTGGTTTGAACAACAAAAACTCGTGAAATAGAAAAAAAAAAAAAAAAGGACAGACAACGTCTTAAGACAACGTTTTGAGACGGTGTCTGTCCCTTTTTCTTTCTATTTCACGAGTTTCCGTTTTTCAAACCACAGTCTCAGGTTTTCAATAATCATGTATAACTCAAACCAGCTCGCCTGCACTTTAACGATTTTTTCACTGATCCTCAGCCGTAAAGCCGCGACTTGACGTCACGGGAGTGCTGCACCAGTGTTCCTTGCCTAAAAACTTACCCGCTTGCCGCCCGCTAAAGCGCAGCTGGTCGCGTCATCAACCTTTGAGTGCAGTATGCGGCTTCACTTTGACGTAATATTTCGGTGGTGACCATATTTCGTGCCACTAAAGTGATACCAGTCATTTATTAGGTTTCGTTTTCGACCGGAGCTGGTCTTTAGGATTACTTGAAGGGGCACTGAAGTCGATTCTGAGATCGTCCTTTTGCGGTGACAACTCAATCTAGACACCTTAAGCCTCCCAACAAACGCAAAATTACAATCGAGCGTAGCTTATTTCCTCGTTAAATACGTGTTCGAAAATCGCGACACGCCCTTTTTGGGAAGAATTTTTTCCGAGTGAAGTGGTCGACGAAGGGCGTTGTCGGCCATTTGTAAGCGATGGCTTCGTTCGCGGTGAAAAAGAAGTGTATCATCCAAATGTGTACCTATCAAACTCTCTTCGAAACGAGTTATAATAAAATCATTCAGAATCTGCGCGTAATGTAGAGCTTTATTTGGTCCACACAACGTAGTCCGTAAGGAAAAAGAGTCCACATGTTTACTCTCTTGCCCTGAGATGAATAGGCGGTTTTGTATTATAGGACTTGGTATATGTGGGAACTTACACCTTTTAAACAATGTAAGATCAAAAACAGCCTTTTTCAAAACTTACTTCGGTGTCCCTTTAAGCACACAAACCACCGAGAGGTCGCATAAGCGGGCGTGAACTCTTCAAAGTTTTAGCTTCAAATTAAAAAAAAAAAAGAAAAAAACTGACGGTTTGCGCTCGTTAGAAGGTCCGTGTCCACAAAAATAAACCGCGGTACAAGAACTGCCCCTTAACGCTTACAGTTCGCAGTGCATTTTGTATGGCGTACCTTCGTAGAAGTCGTTGGTGCACATGGTCTTCCCGGTAACCATGTTCAGTTCCGGCATAGCTTTGCGGCCCACGGCTACAATATCGTTGGCAAGCTTGTTGTCAATGACGGTGGGTCTTCGCACCAACTCCCCCAGTATATGCTGAAACAAAAACAAAACAATTGAGTGTCTTCAGGCGCTCTTCGATGTCTTGAGAATTTTTTTCAATAGGTCTATTCCATTAATACAAAACAAACCCCCCAAAAACAAGATATTAAATTTTCCATACTAAAGTATTTTAAGCATGGAACATCGCACTATAAGGACGGTACACGACACCCTGTAAAAATGCGAAACCTTAAACTGACCACAAAAAGTAGGTTCCCGATTGGTATCTAAAACATTGTTTTCAAAATAAAATAAACCTTAAACTCTTCCCTACAAGCTACCCGACGAAAAATGCATAGATTTTTGTTTCTTCTAGATTATGTTTAACACTAAGAAAGCAATGCATGTATGAGTAAATTTTTGTAATAGTGATGTCTCGTTAATGTGGACACCTCCCTTCCCCCAGAAATCGTCCATAACGTTAGTTGTCCATAATAACGAGACAAAACTGCAAGTATCTTCCAGGTTGTCTTTGGATTTTAGATCCTGGATTTTAGATCCTGGATTTTAGATCCTGGAGGCTACAACCAAAGTTGAAATTTTGGCCCCCTGACGCTTCTCGTTTCTTTTTTTTTTTTTGGCTAGTTAGCCTCGAAAGATTGAAAAATATTCGCGACTCCAGCAAAACGGACGCCGCCAAGCGGGAAAACCGGGAACCAGTCGGTCCAGGTCGCTCCGCGCCCCGCCGCGTCTCTGGTGGCTTTCGCGGACACGTGCTGTCGGCGCGGGGGCGAGCAATGTAATTTGACGAAGGTCCGAAAATTTCTTAAGTTTGCCTGAGTGTTCATTAGTGTGGTGAAGCCTCAATAGATTGTTTCTTTCCATCACGTGTTTGAAAGCCCGTTTACTCCGCAACACACGGTCGCGTGCTTTCAATTTGTTGGATGAGAAGGAATCACGGAGAAACGTTTTGATTTCTCGTCTGTCTCTAATCAAATTCAAAGTAACGACTGCTTGGTAACTGATAAGTGGTTTCTTTATAAGGATGTAGAACAGTGGACTGAGGTCGACAGCCGAAGTGTTTCACTGGAGGGAACACCAATGTTGCAGTCAAGTGAATGGGAAGGTTCGATAGCTACTTTCCTTGAGTTTGGTTGCGCACGATTAGCTTCAAGTTAATTTGAGCCACTAACGCCGGCCTGTGCGTTGGCTATTCATCTTGGCGGCTTTTTGCCGAAAAAGACCACATTGAAGGAGTTGGGCTAATTTCGCAATTACTTGATTCAGAAAACCTGCTCGCTGCATATGATTAATGAGGGAAATTATCTGCTTTCAAAAGGTGGGGGACGCGTCTCGCAAAGTTCGAAGCTGTCATGTCATTAGGATCTATCGCGCCTCCAATATTTATATTATAACCCCCGTCGAAGCCAGCAGCAATATACGTCTACATTGCTCAGGTTGACCGGCCACAAAAACTACTCATTTTATCCGTTCAGGATTCGAAGTCAAATTCAATGCAGAGAGGTCTGAGTGAATCTCCGATGAAGACTCTCCTCAGTTTGTCCGCATTCGTCTCCGTTCTACCGGCTAGAACCATTTGGCTAAGTTTAAGTAGTATCCCTCTGTCTGTCAAATATACTTTTATTCAGCAGTTCACCTAATAGTTAACTACGTTCATATTTCAACCCTAAGAATATACTAATATCGCTTTAGTGGGACCCCATAGTACGTAATATAATACATAATCCGCATATTCGTCAAAATGACTTCTCGATTGCTACTAAAATCTGAATTGAAATACGAGTATCAGCTGCTTAGTGAAGCGCCAGTGAGTTGACAGGCTCCTTGGCTCAAGAAGCGCTTGCTTAATTTTTGTAATTTTCCTGCAGCATGTGTTCCTGACCGAGCATAAGACTGGAGCTGTTTCTTGAAACGCGGACAGGCACAAAAGTTCAATTTCGCGGACAGATAAGTCGCATGGTCGAGGCATGCGAGTTAGCTAAAAATTACTTTCGGTGGAACAATTTTGTAGCCCTCGCCGCTTTCCTTAGATGATCAAAACTAATTAGAGTCTATTACCGTTTCTCCGGAGCCCACAGTTCCGGTTTTGATCGAAGTCTCCGAAACGAAAGTTTGACATGAAAAGAACAAAAAACACCGGCAAAACAAAGCTATGCTCGGCAAGTTTATGCGCACCGGCTACACTTAACTGTCTCAGTTCAAATACCCATAAAATTGGGCATTCAACAAAAGAAAATTTGTTAAATTGAATGCGCCACCCATTCAGGCGGTCCGGCCGAGCCGACGCGACCTGGACTCAGCCGCCATGTTTGTTTGGTGGTGGCGCCCCCTATACGTCGCTGGAGTCGCGAATATGTTGCAATCTGCATTAAGTTCTGTAGTGTGTTCACTCTGTACTTTATTTTTTTATTATTACCTTACTTAAGGCTTTTGCTGCTCTGCTTCCGTGTGTAACTATGACATTTTATGAAAGCAAATAAATAAATAAATAACAAAAACCGCAAGAGCCGGTTGCGCAACAGACACTCGTGCATTTCTTTTTCTACCAAGAAAGCGAAATTGAATTGTTGTTCATTTTAACTTAAATACAAAAAAAAAGAAAAGAAATACGCAGAAACGCGGATTGCGGGTATCCTCCATTTCTGATACCAATGAATCCGGAACCCACTTTTCAAGTAGACAATACTATAGGCCGGTGCAGATCACGCGGGGGGCGGTTAGGAATACAATGCGGAGCGCAAATTCGTCTGCTTCTTTGCAGGGGTTGTGGTGATGTCAGAAAGCCCCAAATAGAGTATAATGGGTAGACCTCAAGTCAACTTGCTTTGAGGTCTAATCACTATCTTTCACTCAGAGCCAATCAGAACTCGGCGTCTTTCTGACGTCACCGCAACGCTTGCGCAAGAAGCAGACGACTTGCTCTCCGCGAACTGTCGCCCAACTGGCATTGCTCGGGTATGCGGGTAGAGGCCGAGGGAGAGGAGGAAATGAGAGGGGACGTCAGACCTTCGAGCTCTGGTTGGAAGGTTTAGGGGGTAGAGGGAAAGGCTTGCCGCCTCTGCCTCTTTCCACTGTTTGAACACGAACGCCGGACGTCAGCGTCCGGCATTCGAACGCGAGACACTGCGCGAGGAGGGAGGCGGTGGGCAGAAAGAGAGGCAGCTAGCCTCTTCGTCTACACTCTAATCCTTCCAACCAGAGCTCGGCACTTTGACATCCCCGTCACGCTAGCCTCTCCTCCTCTCCCTCAGCTTCTACGCTTATTGTCTACTCTTTTGGTAGCGGCTAGAGGCTGTAGTTGGAAATTCCTGACCGCCAAGGGCAGGGTGTGAACCGTCACTCGTGCATTTATGTAGACGCACGAGATGATCCGATCGACCATTAAAAAAGTCAACCGAGAAATAAATTGACTATTGACTAAATACTCACCGTTTCAAGCTCTTCCCGGAGGGCTCCGTTCACAGCTCCCGTGCTTACGACAACTGATCCTGGCGGAATTGCTGGAAACCAATGCACGTTAGTGTTTCCTCGTTTTTTAATTCTGTTAATCCGAAGGGTGATCCCCAAGTTTTGCCTTTTAGGCTGTAACTTTTTTATTCCCCAGTGGCATTGAAAGATGTTATATTAAAATAAAGTTTAGAATCTCCTCTTTCCCCGGAGCGCATAACTTTCCAATATAGTCCGCACCGGGGGCGGTGCGCTTCCACTAACGGTGCACTACCCTCAGCATGTCGTCGTATAGATGATTGATGGCGGCTGTTGACGAGACGAGACCAACACCGCGCTCAAGGAGCTTCAATCCCAAGACGTTTTCACTCATTCACCTTGCAGCACGGACCTCGTGTCATCACTTTGGGCCGCTTTTATAGATAAAGGAACATCTGAAAGGTATGTGGTTTGCGTCCGACAACGAAATTACAGAATTACAGATGCAGTGCGCTGTTGGTGTCGGCCAAGGCCGCCCTCAATCATCTACGACGGCATGCGTAGAATAGTGCACCCGTAGAAGAAGTGAATCGCCGCCGGTGAGAACTGCAATAAATAGTGATGTGCTCCTGGGAAAGAGGAGATTCCAAAGTTCCCGGGAATGAAACATCTTTCAATTCCATCACCTAAGAAAAAAAGTTAAAGAATTACAGCCTAGGAGGCAAAACTTACTGATCAACCTCGTGTAGCATCCAATTTATTTTCGGAAATGTAATAAACTTAGTCTAAAGATATTCAGTCTCGTTCCAAGTACCTTTTTTACTCTCGATTTTGCTTTAGAAAAAAAAAAAAAGCTTACGTTCCTGTCAAACTTTTGGGCACGCAGAGTCAGTCCAGCCAATAATTTGTCTCGAGAATACTCGATACTCTCGATAGGAGTATTTGTTTAAGCACCAATTTTACGTCACGTGACCCCGAGGCCACACTAATAGGTCAACTCAGTTGCGAAACTACAGATTTTCTTTTTATAGAAACTTCGAACCATATTGTTCGAAGGGCCGCGGCTTTGGAAGCGACTGTTACGATAACAACTAGATACACTTCACAACAAAGAAGACATTGTTACGAGGATATGCGGCCAGCGGCAAAAGCCAAAGACACTTTTACTCAATGAGATAGAAAGGCTTTATGGAAGCCGGGACGTGCGCGCGGAGCCTGGCGCGCGATGGTCAGGCGCGCCGCTGCCCCACCATCGTAGTCGAATTTTTCGTCACAATATCTTAAAGCAGAGCCTCTAGATCGCGCATCACCAGCCACCAACGAATATGAGTTTTGCAGCACATCTTTGAAGCATAGCGGACACGGGCACGCTTTCGTGACGTCTATTCTGGTAGGTAAAGCGATTATGAAAACGTCGAGAGTAGTCGACATTGATTGGCGTTGCAAAATAAAGAATGCTGCCATATTTCAAAATAAAAAGACTGTTCGGTGTAGCGTCACCAAAGAAAAAACACGAAAATAATTGACTGGCGGAGTGATATGAACCCTTTGGAGGTGCATGCGGAACTGCTTTACGAACCTGTCACTGACTACGCCTTGTCACTCTTCCGTTTGTTACAGATTCGCAGGAAACCCCCCAAGTTGGAATTCGTCGCCCTTACCAATGCCGCCGCTGGTGCCGACCCGTATGAAGACAACGTTCTTGCAGTCCGCGTAGTGGACAAGCTTCAGAATCTCGTGCATCAGAATCGACAAGGATGGAGCTCCCATGCCGTGCTGCGGGTAGAAATGTGATGCATATAGAACGGGGCGTTAAAGAAATTCAAGAATTCAAAAAAGAGAAAAGAGAATTCGTCAACGCAATCCCGTACACCTAGAGTCTTAGATCTGTAGAAGCACAACCCCCTTACAAGAGCCAAACTATCAAGAAAAATATTTGCATTTTATAATTACACCTTTGAAAAATATAGCACCGGTCTAGAATTTGCTGTTCAGGACAGAAACAAAACGAATATGAATTTCCTAATTGAAGTGATTGATCGCTAATACTCTCAATGCTTGCAACAAGTACTAACCTTCTCGTCTGGGCTGAAGGAATCAACAGAAATATATAAATTTCTCTCCCACGTGTCCATGCTTGTCTAATCACGTGAGTGCGGTGTTTCTCTATTCGTACTATCCAACGGCTATATAAAAAATGCTGTTGCCTCACCAAACTGCCTCCTCTTGTCTGCCATACATGAAATTACTACACTCGCTGACAACTTTCTGTGGCTATGCAGTCAAAGCCATAAACGCGGCCTGTACGCTTACGCACCTTGAGCGCGGATCAAGGATGTGCACGCGCACTCATCATTTCTAAAATGTATGCCACAAAAAGCTGTCCTCGAGTATAGCTTAAAACCAGGCACTGGCTTCCACATCGCAGTTATTCTGCCCGGTCCGGTGTTTCCAGCAAATTTGAGTTCTGATACCCGTCACAGTAACTTCACACTTAAAAACAATACGGTTTTAGGAAACGGAAGAATTTTTTTTCGCCAAATTCAACATGATGGATTACCAGGACAAAGCAGATGACCAGTTCGGTTGCTCTGAATCACCCCTGCAGTGAAAACCCTTTGGAATAGTTTGCCCGAAATCTACTAGGTCGCATCTGCATCACTGGAAAGTGGAACTATTACGTGGGTCGCGTGAGGGAGGACTGTAGCGGCACGCTACAGCGAGTAAAGAAGACGAAGAACACCAGCTCGAGAAAAACACCATCACTTGCACGCGGGGGCTCGAGATGACAAGGCGAAGGGCTACGCAGTCCACGTTCCACGATCTTCAGATTTTGACTCTTTTGTAAATAATGTAAATATACGATTTGTTAGCAAATGAGAATATCCTTCTTGCTACAAACTGGTGACCCGAGACTCGGAACAAGCCCTCCTGCCCGACTAGTGGCTTCTATCAACCAGTGAGTTGTCTTGGAACATCTGCGCTCATTTGGAATGATGAGCGTCACTCAAGCTTCCGCGTCGTCGGGCGACCTAACAACGCCTGCGATCGCTGCGGTCAACTTCAAGTTACCGGAACTCTGGGCTGCCGATTCGGAACTCTGGTTCCTCACGATTGAATCGACGTTCCGAAAGAACAAGATAACATCGTCCTTGACGAAGTTCGACCACGTCATTTCCGCTCTGCCGCAGTCATCGGCAGCTGTCGTTCGGGACATCCTTCGCGCTCCACCAGAAGATCAGCCCTATGAATACTTGAAGAGTGAACTCATCCGACGAACAACAGAGTCGGAACACCGCAGGCTGCAGCAACTCCTGACGGCAGAAGAACTAGGTGACAGGAAGCCGACAGAGCTGCTACGACGCATGGAACAGCTTCTAGGAGATAAAGCACCGAACATGGAGACAACGATTCTCCGAGAGCTTTTTCTCCAGAGACTACCACAACCAGTCCGCATGATACTAAGCACATCGACCAACGACTCCACCGCCACGTTGGCTCGGATGGCAGACCAAATCATGGACGCGGGCTTTCCATCCATCTCCGCTGTGCAAACACATGACACTACACTCCATGCCGCACGACCATCGCCGGCCGTGGAGGACAAGATTGCCCAGCTGCTGTCTTCCAACTCTCGGATGGAAGCCAGGATGGACCAACTCACGCGAGAGCTCAAGGACCTCCGAATGCGTCACTCCCGATCCTCGAGCGCGAGTCGACGAACCAACGAAGAACGCCGCCGAAGCAAGTCTCCTGTAAAACACCAGGTCTGCTGGTACCACTACCGTCACGGAAATGATGCCAAGAAGTGCCAACCTCCGTGTACTTTCACGGGAAACGGCAAGGACGCACACCAGAGGCGGATGGTGTAGCCGGCCTGGAGTCCAACCGTCTTTTCTACGTAACCGACCGAACCACCAAGGTCCGGTACCTAGTAGACACGGGAGCCGAGATTTGCGTCGTTCCACCTACGCTGGAAGATCGACGGCATCGACAAGACATCCCGCCACTACATGCAGTGAATGGTTCACCAATTAAGACGTACGGACAAAAGTCAATCACTCTCGACATCGGCCTCAGACGGACGTTTCGGTGGGTTTTCTTAATCGCCGACGTTCTTCAACCTATCATAGGAGCCGACTTTCTCCGGCATTTTGCGCTCATGGTGGATGTAAAGCGAAGACTGCTTCACGACATTGAGACTCGCCTCACCGTGCAGGGAATATCCGCGAAGGGAGTCCAAGAGGCGCCCAGCCTCCCCCAAGTGGAGACAACCTCTAAATGGACGGATATCTTCGACGAATTCCCCGACGTGTTTCGTCCAACTTCAAGGGACGTACCGGTGAAACACACCGTGACCCACCATATTGAGAAGAAGGGACCTCCGGTGTTTGCTCGACCTAGACGCCTAGCTCCAGATCGCCTGCGGATAGCGAAGCAAGAATTTGAGCACAAGCTCGAGCTTGGCTACGTCCGGCTTTCTTCCAGCTCCTGGTCATCGGCCCTCCACATGGCCCCAAAGAAAAGCGGCGACTGGCGACCATGCGGAGATTACAGAGCCCTCAACCAGAGCACGGTCCCCGATCGCTATCCAATTCCCCACATACAGGATTTCACCGGCGCCTTGCATGGAGCAACCATCTTCAGTAAGGTGGACCTCGTGAAAGCGTACCACCAAATTCCTGTGGAACCGGCCGACGTTCCGAAGACCGCCATAATAACCCCATTCGGCATGTTCGAGTACTTGCGGATGCCGTTTGGTCTCCGCAATGCGGCCCAGACCTTCCAAAGGTTCATCGACCAAGTCCTACGCGGCCTGACCTTTACTTTCGCATACATGGACGACATCCTCATTTTCAGCGACAACCCGAAAGACCACGTAGACCACCTACGTCAGCTCTTCTCTCGCCTTGAAAACTATGGATTGATCGTCAACCCTGCAAAGTGCACATTCGGCGTCGAGGGCCTGGATTTCCTGGGCCATCGCGTCGACAGTCACGGCATACGGCCGCTGCCACAGCGAGTAGAAGCCATCCGCGAGTTAACGCAACCTCCTACAACAAAGAAACTCCGCGAGTTTCTCGGGCTCGTGAACTTCTACAGGCGCTTTGTTCCTCAGTGTGCTACGATCCTCCAGCCCCTGCATGACCTTTTGCAAGGAAAACCAAACAAGAACGCCGTTCTGACTTGGACACCAACTGCTGACGCAGCGTTTTCCGCCATCAAGGAGGAACTTGCAAAAGCTAAACTGCCGACCCATCCAAAAGCTGGAGCGCCAACATCAGTCATGGTAGACGCCTCTAACTCCGCCGTCGGAGCTGTCCTCCAGCAGAACATCAACGGAACATGGAAGCCATTGGCATTCTTCTCGAAGAAGCTGTCAACCACTGAGTGCCGCTACAACACTTTCGGAAGGGAACTACTCGGAGTCTACCTTGCCATCAGACACTTCCGCTACTACCTCGAGGGACGGACATTTTTTGTGATGACTGATCACAAGCCGCTAACGTATGCTTTAACATCTAGCAGTGAATCGCACACGCCAAGAGAGATACGGCAAATGGCTTACGTCATGGAGTTCACGACGGACATCCGCTTTGTACCAGGCAAAGACAACTCCGTAGCAGACGCACTCTCTCGAATTGGTGTGAACACCTGCTCTACCGAACGGAACGCTGTCGACTACGAAGAACTAGCAGCAGCGCAGAGCACGGATACAACATTACTACATTTGCGGGAAACAACGTCACTGAACCTACAAGACATAAAGATTCCGGAATGCAAAGCAACATTGGTCTGCGATGTGTCGACAGGACAACCAAGACCATATGTCCCCGAGAAGTTCCGGAAGCCTATTTTTGAAGCAATCCACTCACTTTCACACCCAGGAATTCGAGCCACACAACATCTCATAACTGCTCGATTCATATGGCCTAAGATCAACGCCGACATCCGCAATTGGACACGCACGAGCGTGCAATGCCAGCGCGCGAAAGTGGGTCGGCACACGACTACACCGTTCGGCAAGTTTTCACCTCCCGATGGTCGTTTCAGCAACATCCACCTCGACATAGTGGGACCACTCCCGCCAGCAGACGATTGCCGGTACATTTTGACCTGCATCGACCGCTTCACGAGGTGGCCTGAAGCAACACCGATCAAATCGATAGCAGCAGAAGCTGTAGCACGGGCCTTCGTCAGCATGTGGGTCAGCCGTTTTGGAACACCAACCACCATCACAACAGACCGAGGGAGACAGTTCGGGTCTACACTGTTCCAGAACCTCTCGCGGATCCTAGGTACAAAGCATATTCACACTACATCCTATCACCCCATCTCCAACGGAATGGTGGAACGGTTTCACAGACAGCTAAAGGCCAGTTTGAAGACGAAAGATACAGCCGCGCCTTGGACGGAAACTCTACCACTTGTCATGCTTGGAATACGCACGTCCCTAAAAAGTGACCTGGGATGCAGTACAGCAGAAATGGTGTACGGCACGCCTCTACGCATCCCTGGTGAGTTTCTAACACCTACCACCAACACCGAAACCACCACAGCAGAGGACTACGCAAGCCGTCTACGTTCCTCATTCGAGAAACTACGACCTGTGCCCACACGACAGCGGAACTCTCGCAAGGTGTTCCTCAGCCCGGAACTGTCACGCTGCACCCACGTGTTCATACGCACAGACGCCGTGAAACGACCGCTGCAGAACCCATATGAAGGACCATTTAAAGTTCTAAAACGCGCCGACAAGTACTTCACCGTGCTCGTGAAAGGACGTGAAGATACAATTTCACTCGACAGGATAAAACCAGCTCATCTCGAGCAACCCCAAGCACACACAACTCCAACCCTAGTACGACGAGTACACTTCAAAGGAGCACCTGATCGCTCGTCTCCTCCACCTCCTCGCTAGGGGGGGGAGTACCTGTAGCGGCACGCTACAGCGAGTAAAGAAGACGAAGAACACCAGCTCGAGAAAAACACCATCACTTACACGCGGGGGCTCGAGATGACAAGGCGAAGGGCTACGCAGTCCACGTTCCACGATCTTCAGATTTTGACTCTTTTGTAAATAATGTAAATATACGATTTGTTAGCAAATGAGAATATCCTTCTTGCTACAGGACCAATAGACCGATCTCACAAGGAGTTTCACGACGCCACCGCTGCCGTGGTGCATTCTGGTAACTGTAGTTCTCCCCAGTGTTCTGGCCGCGTCAAGGCGCGTTGTACGTCCGGTGTTTGGGAATTTTCAGGTTAGCACGAAACTTTTAGTCAGCCGTTTACTCACGGTTTTTAATGGGTGTCTTCTTCCGTTCTGTGTCAAGGTGCTACAATAACAGCACCAGGCAAAACGGCATCGGATTTTATGTCTTCCCGGAAGAAAGCAGCCCACGAAAAAAGTGTCTAAAACAGGTAAAGGGAGCGGTAGAAGAGCGGCAGGAAAAAACGTTTTTAGATTTGTTTCGTTATTTGATTCATAATTTATATTCACCCCATTGCACGATAACTAAAGAGTGTAAGCTTACACAGGGCATGAGACGTAGTAGGGCGTACCAAAGTGTTCCGTAAGTTAGAATCTTTCAGAGCACTCGCTCCGTAGCGGTATATCCGTTGGTCTATCTCAACCGGAACTTCCACACTGCCTTGCGGCGACCGTTTTTAATACAATGTTTGCTTGATGCATTTTGGTGGTTATAACTGTTATTGACACGACATGTTTTGAGCACAACTGTGCTTCAAAAAATCAGTACAATCACCGAAGAAAGAGCAGCGATTCTCGGTACGTATATATATATATATATATGTAACTTGAAATACAACGACTTTCTCAATATCAGACTTAATTTTTTTTTAGTGGGCTATTATGCCACAACCTGATTTGGCTGGCGTTACTGATACATTCTGCATTAACACCAATCGACACAGCGGAAAAAACATTCTCCGTCGGTCAGCTCTTACCGTTCGGAGCTTGAGCAAACCAAATAAAATTGAATAGAAACTGTACACAAGAGCTCATCTCTACCCGAAGTTCTCAGGCATCTCTCATGGTTACGTTTCATTTTGACAAATGCGAGCTGTTACGGCTCGTCAGGCAGGTTCTTTTTGTAGATCGTTTCTTTGGTTACAGGCTTCCCCCCGCAGTTCTAATGTACCCTGTCGCAAAGGCCCTCAACCAGAATAGAACGAGTTTTAGAAAACTATCGCTCTCCGAGAATGTCTATTGAGCTCGTTTTACTTCATTGTCGCATAAAAGTTATGCCCAAGCCTGCGCACTACAGAGCTCAGTATTTCACCGACACATTTGACGCTGTTCCGCGGTGCTACACCGAGCCGATGGTCCCTCGAATTTTGTGCTTTTTCACGTTGAGGTAGATATTCACTTGCTTTCAAGTTTATTGAGACGTAGGAGCACCCGGAGTGGTCGAGGGAGTAGTGGCCTCGTTGTTTTTGCCGCTGTTGCAGTAAGACCACCGCGTGAACGCAGTGGGTTCACGCGCGTTCACGAAGGCGAAGAAGCGGACGACGACGAAGCAGACGGCAAAGCGATTCTAAAGCGATAAGACAACGGAAACTGTTTTTTTTTTTGCGCCTGATGACAAACTAAGGCATCACAAACAACACAATCTAAGAAAGTACTGATATGTAGGGGAATCCAAGCTAACACCAGGGCTTCCCAAACTATGATGTACGCCCACATGAGCCCTTTTCAGCCGGGAAGCCGGAGAGCGATGACTACAAGTAGCATGGCGGCTGCAATACTTCCGGAATGCGCGCGCCTGCGCAGTTCGCTTGGCGGCATCGGTCTATTCGGGACGTTTCAACTCCTCAGCTGTCCGATCTGAACCCGCTGATATTTAAAGAACGATGGCCACCGGGGCTATTTTGATCGGAGCGTTTCCGGCTGTCTCGGCGTCTAAATTTCGGGGCTCGTTTCTCAAGTGTCGTGCAACCTGAATAAATCTGTCACATTCAGATCGCTTAAGTTATATATCAACTTTATAGCTTCAAATAAACTATCGGTTATATTTTTTTTTACATTGATTTATCTGATAGAATGGTATATATCGTGCAAACAATATTTCGTATTTCCTAAAATTCTGAGTCTCAAAACACGAACTCTACGCATTTGTGTACCCCTCTCCAATGTCATTGAAGGGCACCTTGTAGGTTTTTGGTCACCACGTTCAACGTGGCTAACACAGCGACACGCAGGCAACATTGTATAATTCCAGGAATGAATATAATGCTGACATATAGCTCGCCCTCACTACTCTATCGAGTTGATGCTCATCTACACTACCATATAACTAACCTTCTTGCGCATCAATGCTTATAAAATAACTTAACTAAAATGGAAACAAACAAAATTTATAAAGATTTCAGAATCTTTATGTGCCGTAACTTTCTTCGTGACTAGCCTTCTTTAGGTTGTATGGATGCAGTTTTATGTCTGTCATATTAAGTACTTTGTGTTTCGCCCAAAAAATAACATATTTTGTTTTTAAAATATTTAAATCTAGCCGATTCAAGGAGCCTTGTCGATGATTTATTTAACCAATTATTCGATGAACTGGAAAGAGTCGAAGATTATTATGAAAGGAAAAGCACAAGAACATTCGAGTCGTCTGCAAACAATTGAATTTCCGCGCACTACCACGTAGTAACTATATTAATAACAGAAACAAAAATAAAAAAATCAATAAAATAATTAATTGCAGAAAACAATTGTTATTTGTACGACATCTTGTAATCTCTGAGATGGGGAACGATAAAAAAAAAACGGACGAACACAACAAAATTTTAAACGCAGCTGAATTTTATTGATAGGAGCATACCAATAAATAGACTTTCAAACAAAAGGAAAAGTGAAATGGCAAAAAAAAGAAGAACTCAAAAGCAAAAACAAAACAGGCAACGCGTTCACCCCAGACAGCCTGAGCCACTCCACGGCTCCAAACACTTTCAGAAAAGGAGCCGACCACCCGAACAACAAACCCAAGGTCAACACACATGGCGACCTCCAAAGCGCTACAGCCTAAGCTCTATTTCCTATTCCAAAATAGGAAATAGGTAGGAAAGTAGGAAATGGAGTAGGAAATAGAGCTTAGGCTGTAGCGCTTTCGAGGTCACCATGTGTGTTGACCTTAGGTTTGTTGTTGTTCAGGTGGTCGGCTCCTTTTTTTAAAGTGTTTGGAGCCGTGGAGTGGATCAGGCTGTCTGGGGTGAACGCGTTGCCTGTCTTGTTTTTGCTTTTGAGTTCTTCTTTTTTTGCCCTTTCTCTTTTCCTTTTGTGAGAAACTCTATTAGTGGTAGCCAAGGCAATTGCGTTTTCTTTTTGTCGGTAACATGAAAGGGGCAATGTAACAATTTTTGTGCATTGCGCAAATACCGCTCAGAACTAATCCCTGACGTTTATGACTTATGAAACATGAGATCGTTTTTCACCACATGCAATAGAAGTTGCAAAAAGAAAGTAAAGAAAAACGAGCAGCGTTCACCCCATCGACTTGCAGTCAGAACAAGAGGCCACGTGGTATGGAGCCGATTATATGCCGTCAATGTTATCATAGCCACGCGCTGGAGTTGGCAAGGCACAGGACACGCGCCAAGTTCCAGACATTGTTACTGTTCGGCTATTGTCGTCATTGCAGCGATTGGACACGGGCCACAACTCGAATGCTTGTCGAGCAATCGCATGCAAATATCGTCCCCCCAGCTACGTGAACAAGTTTTGCGAAAAAAAGACTGAAAGAAAACGCTTGTTTTTATCTTTAAAATTCTACCACTACAAAACAGTTTCTTGGCCAGTGGTCTTGCGTGCGGCTATCCTTGAGTCCCACTAGTGCCAGTAAGCTCGTGTAAAGTGAAAAACACCCAAAGCGAATCTTACTGCTCGGCCCCTTTAATCAACGACCAAAATCTCTATACGCCAAACTCATCTTTGTGGCGTGACGCCAAAGCGATGTTCTAGCTCGGAACAGAGGATACTCAGATGGCTCACTCTTTCCAAAACGTGTTTCTGCTCATGCGCAGTGCCCCCAATTACTGTGGGAAAACGCGCTTGCTTCCAATCATTAAGTTGGTGGATATACAGACCGTGACCCCTTTTATACAATTTTTCCAGCTTTATTCTTAAAAAAAAAAAAAAATAATAAAAAAGTTGGTCGTTTAAAACTACAAGGGTAGTAAAAAGTCCTCATTCGGTGCACCGACGTAGGAGGGCCCGCCAATATACATTCCAAGCAAAAACAGAAAAATACACACGCACACACACGCACACACACAGATGTCATGTTGGTGTTAGCAGTGTACACACACCGAATCAGGTCATCCCACAAAAGAGGTGAGAACAGTGCCGAGCTGGATGCTTACGCTGACAGATAGAACGGGTCCGATCTTGTACATGGAGTACCGGTAGGAGTAGTGGCTGATGTCATAAAGGTCCGCTCCCGTAGGCAGCTTGACGCCCAGAAACTGCTTGGCAAAGTGCGCGAACTGCTGCATGCGGGTCGGAGTGCCTCCCATGCAGATGAACTGCAAGGTCGATGACAGCCGGCAAAACGTGTCAACCACGAATGAACCACGTACATAAGCACCGAGCGAAAGGAGAATCAAATCGGTCTCGTTCAAGTTAAGGGTTTCTTTGATAGCGAGAGCGTTAAGGAGCTCGTGTCACAAACAAAAAATCGGCGACATGGCAAAACGAAAAAAAGCCGGCGTCGGTGGCGTTCCGCGAAACTCTTGATTGGTTCATAGGTTCATGACGCCACAGCCACATGACCTAGCGCGGGTATTTCAAGCAACCCACAAAGGTAACGTAAAACGTTACGTTCCGCGTGGAATGAAAGTGATTAAAAACCTGACATGTAAAGCGAATTAAAGGTCATCATATGTTTAAAATGTTTACAGTGATGATGAAATTAACTCATTTGCCTCAAAGACAAAATTCAAAGCTTGGGTGCAAGCGAGGGTTTCTGTGTCGCGTTCCCCTCTTAAAAATGCGAGGCTTAGGTGTCCTCCAAGTTTTTTCAGATATAATATATATATAGTGCTAAGGTTTCGTAAACAAATAACATGTTTCCATAGATGTTTAATGCAGCGGGTAACGTGTCAGTGTAACACGCTAAGTTCAGCGGACTTAAGTCACAGTAAAAGTTGACGGGAATTGTTTACCCGCTAAATTTGGCGGTAAAATTGAACTGGTGTATAGTTATACCCTCTTTGTGTTTTCGCCTATAAATTGACTGCAAAAACGTTCACTGCTCACTTTGGAGGAAGGAGACTTCTTGTCCGATCAATTTACCGTCATTCAGTTTAACTCACCAGCTAAAAAAGATGTGCTAATTAAACACCCAGAGCAGGTCAAAACACGCTGCACCTTTTGTATCTCGCGACTTCGAGCGTAGGATTGATATAAACTTTTTTGTGTGTTCGATATACTTAGAGAGAAGACGTCAATTTTATAGATGCTGTATTTAGAGAGAGCTGGCCTCCAAAACAGTTTGCAAGTAATAACAATCAACAGGCATGGCGAAGTACAATTCACAACAACAAAAATATGGCATCTTTCTGTTCATACTAAAACCATAGCTTCTACCTAAAGACCTGCACCGCAACTCCGGGTGGTTCGGAAAAAAATGAGGCTACTAGAATATCTTAATACGCGCACCGTCGTTTACAAAAAAAATATTCGAGGACGTTTAAGCTTTGGCTTTAAGCGTGGAAGGAAATAGCGTTATTGAGCCCCGATCGCAAAGCCTTTTCATATACACCGGCGCTCGTTTCCAAGCCGTGCAAATGTGTACGCATGGCCTAGTCGGTATCGTCACGTGTCACGTGACGTCCCACGTGACATCACAACAGCCACGTGACGCATTTTCGGCAAATTTGGAAGGAAATCTTTCCGGTGAATTTCGCCGCAAAGTTTTCCGCTAAATTTACCGAAAAACGTTCTCACCAAATTTTGAAGGTCGATAGCGTCATGACGTCACCCGTGTGACGTACCACGTGGCTGTGATGTCATGACTTTATCGACCAATCAGGATTTTGCCGTCCCACCGATGCCAACGCCGGATTTTCTGCGACACGTGCTAATTAACGCTAGCGCGCTAAAGGCAACGACCTAAAAGCATGATGATGAACGATGATGATTGGTGGGTGCGACGATTCCACGTATGGTGATGATGGTGGTACCTTGAGGTCGCCGAACATCTCCTTTAGGTCGTGGGTGGCGGTGCCCAGGGCCAAGTGATACAAGTGGTCGCTCCCCATGTGCTTCAGGTGCGGGTTGTGCAGCAGGACTCGACCGTCCTTGGATGGCTCCTGGGCTCCGCCGCATCTGCGAGGTCACAGACCCGTGTCACCCAATTGGCTCACTCTCTCGCCATGCATGCGCATAATACTTTATTTTTTTTTGTTGAAAATACACCACATAAAAGGGCCTTACCAACAATAAAAAATATTTAAGATTAAAGGTCGGTATTTTTTTTTTCTTTCGACACGAAGACCACCGCCGGAGAACGGCCTGCTCTGGCCACATCTCTCGCTCCTCTGTGTTGTTCAGTCAGCTGCAATGACGACCTACAACTTGGAATATCCGAGGAGTCGTAAGCCTCCACAGGTGCGTCGACGTAAAATAAAAGTAAAAATTTTTATAGGACCTAATTTTTAAGACGAAGGTATGTTCGACTTAATGGAAGCTGGAAGCTCGAACCTGTGGTCACGCGGAGTGAAACAAACGAACCGAGGTCCGACGTTTCTGTTGACACGTTCCTCTGGGCACTTCTCTGGTATACGTTCGATTAACTTCACTTTGATGAGTAGTTGTACAACCTTGTTGATGACCTCTCCTGGCGCTTTACATGTGCACCACGGTACAAACAGAAAAATATATATTTATTTCTTTAGGGTATCACAGATCTCTATGTATAATATAAAGGCTACATGAACATAATTTTTTTTTATATAACCTGGCTAGAGCTAAAACGTTTTTAATTATTCATTCCTACCGCGACTAGTATCCGTCGCTGTTATTCTTGGGGTGTCACGACTCTTGGTGTATCCGGTAACTCATGCCGTTAGAAAAACTATACAAGCCAGTAACATTTCACGGTCCTGTTAAATTCATTGTGAGAGTAAGAGTTCCGACCCGCAGCCTTGTGCTTTGCAAGCAATCTGGTGGCAAGGCCATCTTTAGACTTCAAAGCTTGTCCTCTGAATTCCGAAGGGAATAAGAACATCTTTTGATTGCTACCCTGAGCTCCGCCCTGATAATAAGAACAAACACTCACGATGATAACGATTATCGTAAGCGTGTCCGTGATACCTCCAACGTTTGCTTTATGGAGAAAACCATGCTTGTGTGTCAAGGATATCTTCGCGATAAGCAAAACTAATACACGACTGCACCGATACCTGCTTGCTTGCTTAAGATACCCACAGAATCGCGTGACAATGCTATTTGTTACACAGTTCTGATAAGCACGAGGAGTGGACATGGCAGATTTGCCTAGATTGCCCAAGTGCACACTAAACGTTTTACAACGAAGCGTACATTAAAATAGTGTTCCAGAGATTTACAACGATATCTAAATATTTTTATAATATTTATTTCAAGTAAAACACCCTTTATAATCGTAAAGTAGGGTGCTGCTACGTGGACTCCGCAAGAGTTCTTTCTCTCTCCGCTGTTGTGGGGAATATCTATTGCTTTTTGAAGGGCGTAGAAAGGATATAGAAAAAAGTGCTGCGTTGCAAGTTGGGCGAAGCGACACATGCCTGCTACAAATTCGGAAGGTGGTTTTAAAAGCTATGCTCACTCATTACTGTTTCCGGGAAAAAGGCTTTTTTCTGAGTGAAATGCCTTGAAAAACGAGACAGTGCTTCCTTTTTAGAGCGCAGCTCTTAGGGTACCGTTTCCAGCCTGAGCGGCGTCAACGTCGCCGTCGGCGTAACCGGAGGGGGGGGGGGTCATGTGACCCCCCCGAGGTGACGTGACCCCCCCCCCCCCCGAAATCACGTAACCCCCCCCTCCCCCCGAGGTCACGTGACCCCCCCCCCCCCCCGAGGTCACGTGACTACCCGCAGGTCACGTGACCCCCGTTTGCAAGTCCGGCTTCAGGGCGCTGCCATCTTGCCTGTCTGGGGTGCGCTTGGACCAGTCATAATCCGATTACGAAGCCTTGCTAAGGCGTCGTAATCGGATTATGGCCGCTCCCGAGAGCGCACCCCACTGAGGAAGATGGCGGCGCCCTGAGACCGGACTTGCAAACGTGCGCTCCAATTCGGCGTTACAGGGATTCGTAAACGGCTTTCATTTTGGCCCGTTGTTAAATTGTATACCAGACAATAGTATGGCACGGGCCTGGACCCCGAGCGCATTAGGAAGCTTCTGATATGGCCTCAGTAAATTGGGTATCGTCCGCTCTATTGTACCCCCCCCCCCCCCCCCCCCCCCCATAGATTATGTTTAGAATTAACGAGGGCTCGCATGTCTCCCATCTCGTAGAAGACGCAAGATGCATCCACCGCGATATGGGAAGGCGAGCCGCCGATAACGGTTTACCTTTTCGATGCCCAGTATTGCTCAGGAGCAACAACTCAAGAATGATTTAATTTCTCCTACACCATGCCCGCCTCAATAAATTTAACACACTCTGTCGCGAGGACGATGATACCTGCGCTTAGCGGTGAAGAATCGAATTGGATCGTCAAAACAGATCACTTGTCCTTTAAAGCCAAAGCTAACAGAGAATGGGAGTTATGATGGCGTACACGAATGACGTCGAAACTCTGAGAAAAAAAACTGGCGCAAATACTACAAATCCAGTCACAAGTGTCTCTATAGGTCGTAACTGATTTCAGTCATGGGACGTAAACTAATGCTGCAAATGCTCAATGTTACTTACAATCAACATTTCGATTTTTGTTTCTCGTGCGAAATTTTAGCGAAATGCTACATATTTGTAACCTTAATAATCCTTGAGGCGGTCACCCTCGAATAAGCACCTTTCAACTGTCGAATATACAAGGCGGTGGTGCAGTCAACAGGGTATTTATTGACTGACGAATACCCTATTTACAGTATCCTAATTCCCCTTTAGCTCCTTTAGCTAAGGCAACGTTAGGGAAGGCTGCGAATCAGTTCGCGATAAACCGCGCGTGGCGTGTGCACGCGACCCTAGAACGCGGGCTGATTCGCCGATTGCAAAGGGACCTATATGTTAAAGGGACCTTTATGCTGACCGCTTGATGCCGTATTGCTGAGCTTACTGAAAGTACAAATATTGTTGCATTATCTGAAAGAGCTATGCAGCAATTTTCGTACTCTTAGTAAATACCGCATTTCTGAATTTTTTTTCTCTCCATGCACTGGCAGCAAGGTAAAAAAAAAATCACGACTTAAAAAAAAAAAATCAGATCTATTTTATTTTGATTAGTTTTCTTTTTTAATTTAAATAAAATTTATCTTGTTTAAAATATAATACTTCAATTTTAAACACTGTAGTTATAAAATAGTGATTTTTATCTCTAGATGTTTTTTATATGGCAGATTGATTGATCAGTCCGTCTGATAACTGAATGCAATGCAATTTCTCTAAATTTCTATTTTTGCGGGAAAGGTTCGAGGCAAATCATCGTTGTAAAACCAGACGTATCTAAATCATAATTTAAATCATGATTTAATTTATGATACAAAACGTTATTTAAATCATGATTTAAATTATGCTTTGAATTATTCCGATTGTCATTCTACATCGTAAAAATCAGTTGCAGAAAAAAATTTGGAAAAATCGAACACAGTTCACCATCCCCAACTTTGTGGGACATCAAAGTCTCGGCGTGTACACTAAAATGAGAATTTCAACTAAACAACAACAAACATCGCAATTTTTCCGAAAAGTGTTTTACACTAACAGTCAAAAAATGCCAATGAGCGTAATTAAACTTTTTGGCGCGTAAAATTTTTATTCCACTGCTCCAAATATTTACTTTGCATTAAATTCTACGTGCCCCGTTCACAAGGTATGTAGATGGTTGAGCGTGTTGGTTATTAATTTACGATAAAAAAGGAGGGACATTAAAGACAAACAGACAAGACAGGCTTGTCTGTTTGTCTTAAATGTCCCTCTTTCCTTATCGTAAAATAAACCCGTTCACAAGATTATGCATTTCTGCTTTTCATGACAATCTTAATATTCTCGAGGACTATAATTGCCTGGGTATCAATAAACGCCAAACAATTATAACGTTTATATTTCCATGAAAATTTTGTATTCCACGGAATGTCCCAGAAAGTTGGCCATGTCCCTAAACTTGGAACGTGAACAACTTGCCACGTTATCTGGAGCCGCTTATATAAAGCCGATGTCCACCATAGCCACGCGCTGGGGTTGGCAAAGTACAGGATACGCTCAGTGTTCCACACATTGTAAAGGGTCGCCTGTGCCCGTCATCGAGCCATTGGACAGGAGCCAATACCCGAATGCATGTCGAGGCACTGATTGTAACGAGCCTATGCGGAGAGAAAGTCGTCATGCTTCTAACGCAGGAGTTCTGGTGACGTCAGAACGATGCCGAGCTCTGATTGGCTTTCAGGTCTACCGACTATTTCTTTTTTACAATCGGTCAATAGGAGCTCCGCGTAACCCCTGTGCAAAAAGCAGACGAACTTGTGGTCCGCATATCGTTGCACGGTCCCTTTGAAGACCCTAGGCTATTAGCCCCGAGAAGTTCGCGTGGCGCCCCCTTACGGCGAACTGGGGTGACGTCACGGCGAGGAGAGAATTTTTCCCCGACTCGCCCCGCTCGCCCTGTGGAGGCTGTGACTACGCTAGCTGTCGGCGCGCTCGTTTCTATTTAATTTTTTTTTTGCGTGTTTTTCGTAGGAAGTGTAAATTTTTATATGTGCCTTTATTGAGATATGGCCTGTAGCTACAGGCGAAACGTCAACCAACATTTTAAGCATGGTTGACAAGTCAGGCAACGCATGAATCACAGCTGGTATATGAAAATAAAGAAGTATGACCACAATTGCAGGAGCATCACTGTAGATTTACATTCCGCGCAATAAATGCTGCTGAGTGTTCTCAATGAATTGGCAGGTTATGCATACTATTTTTTTTTGTATTTGTTTTTAAACAAGATCGCCGAAGCAGAAAAGCTGCAAGCTGCTCGAGCAACATGCTAAATACAGTCTGAGCCATGACAAGAGAATCACAAGTAAGACAGCCCAAGTGCAGGGGCAAAGTAAAAAAAAAACGAAAAAACAAGGAACATTTATTTTATACATTGCTCGCATTTGACCTTTGCTGGATTCGGATAGTATTTCAATGGACT